GGGAGCTGCACTCCTCATTCGACCTTGTGCTGACGGCCACTGATCACGGGGAGCCGCCAAAATCAGGTACCGCTTTAATTAAAGTCATTGTCCTTGACTCCAATGATAACAGCCCCGTCTTTGCAGAGAGCTCTTTGACAGTCGAGGTTCGGGAGGATGCTCTGCCTGGGACCCTCCTAGTGAAGGTCACGGCCACCGACCCCGACCAGGGTCCCAATGGGGAGATCGAGTACAGCCTGAGCAAGCACGCACCCCTGGAGGTGCTGAGCGCTTTTGGCATCGACGCCCGCACGGGCAGCATCATCCTGAAGAACCCGCTGGACTATGAGGATACCCACACCTACGAGCTGGACGTGCAAGCCCGGGACCTGGGTGCCAACCCCATCCCAGCGCACTGCAAGGTCCTGGTCAAAGTCCTGGACGTCAACGACAACGCCCCTGATGTCCATGTTACCTGGGCCTCACGGGAGCCAGTGCTCTCTGAAGCTCTCCCCAAAGACAGCTTTGTTGCTCTGGTGACGGCCAGCGACCCCGATTCGGGAAGCAATGGGCAAGTGCATTGCTCTCTCAGTCAAGGGTACGAGCACTTCAGGCTGAAGAGGACCAACAGCCACAGCTACGTGCTGATGACCAACGCTGCGCTGGACAGGGAGCTGCGTGCCGAGTACAACCTGACGTTGGTGGCACGGGACCAGGGTGACCTCTCCCTGGCTGTGCTGAAGCACCTCACTATCTGCATAAGCGACGTCAATGACAACGCCCCCTCCTTTGAGAAGGCCACTTATGAGGTCGTTGTTGCTGAGAACAGTGAACCTGCCTTCTTGCTCACAGTCCGTGCCACTGACCCTGACCTGGGTTTCAACGGGAAAGTCACCTACAGCATCCTGGATTCCTCTGCTCTGGGTCTGATCTCAATTGACCCCACCTCTGGGGATGTTTTTGCCCTCCAAGCTTTTGATTACGAGCAGGTGAGGAACCTGGAGTTCCTAGTGACCGCCGAGGATGGTGGTCACCCCAAGCTGGTGTCCAACGTCTCCATCAGGCTGGCTGTACTTGACCGGAATGACAATGCGCCCGTCATCACCGCACCGGCACTGGTGGGAGGCGTGGCCACACTCTCCGTCCTAGTCAGCGTGGAGACAGGGTGCTTCTGGGTGGTCGCTGGGAACGGGAGCGCCCAAGGGACTGCAGCAGTGACCAATGCAACCCTCGTGTCGTGTGCCAGCGCTCCCTTCCTCTTCACCATCACAGCCAGGGATGCGGACTCCGGCATCAACGCAGCTCTCCGGTATGATCTGGTGGGTGGGGATGACGCTGGGCTTTTCATCCTGGACCCTCTCTTGGGACAGGAAAAAAAAAGCCAACGCCAGCGGCCTGGCCGGCAGCGAGCGGGAGCTGTTGGTCCGGGTGAGCGATGAGGGGGACGTGCCCTTGCACACCCTGGCCCGGGTGCGCTTAGCTTTCCGGCATCACGGGGCATTCTCCAAAATCTCGGCCCAGGATCCGGGGTGGCTGAGCTCCTCTGTGGTGGTCATTATCTGCCTGGCTGCTCTCCTGGGCGGCTGCCTTCTCCTCTTGGCTTTAACCCTGTCTTTGCGCAAGAAGGACAAGAAGGACGGCATGGCCTACAACTGCAGGGAGGCGGAGGATGCCCGCAGGCAGCAGCAGCTCAAGAAGCCTCACAGGCAGATCCAGAAGACCGACATCCACCTTGTCCCGCTGCTCTGGGGCCGGCCCCGAGAGGCTGAGTCCCCCCGAACCCTGTGCCAGGAGGATCTGCCCGGCACA